ATTTCTCCAAGCCACTTGACTGAGTGCCACATGAGCTCTCAGTTAAAAAGCTGGCATTATATGGAGTTAATAGGGCCTGCAGTGCATAAAACTGGATCACTGACAGATCTCAGTATGTAGTTGCTAATGGGAAGACAATAGTGAATAGAGTCATATCTAAGGGGGTCTTCCAAGGATCCGTTTTTGAGCCCAATACTATTCTGTGTTTTAGTTAGCGATCTCGATGATAAAGGCAGATCTTTGTTGGTGCAAAGGTTGGTGGGGCAGTAAATATAGAGAAGAGGAGATTACTGTTACGAAGTGATCTGAATCATACGGTTAAATAGTCACGATTCAATAAAGTGCTTTTGAATGTATGGTAATACATCTGGGAACAAAGAAATCTGTTTCTAACCTGGGAGACACTCGGAAAGAAATGACTCAAAAAAGCATATGGAAATCATCTTCGATCAGTGTTTCTTAAACTGGCATAAGCAGCAAACTTCTAGAGGATATGTGAGGGAGGAATGGGAAAGCAAAAGGGAAAGGGGGAAAGAAAAAGAAAGAAAAATGTTACTGACTCCACAGTAGTGCAGCTGTAGTGAACAGAAGGGTTACTTTCTTTTGTTATCCCTAACACCCAACTCATGGGGGCACACCGCTGCTTATCAAACTTTCTGGGGTATGCAATGCAAAATGGTCTGAGGACCACTCTCAGAAATAATTTCCCCAGTGTGATTTCTCAGTGCAGTTCTGCGGCAAAAGGGGGCTACTATAATCCTTTCACCATACAAAATGAGAGGCATATCATGCAAACTTAGTAATGTGTTTTCTCCATACACAGCATTAGTAAGACTGCCCTTAGAGTAGAGTGTCCTGCCATGGTGTCCTTAGTTCAAAAAAGTTGTGGAAATCGGAGAGCAAGCTCAAAAGAAAGCCACAGCAAGGAGCTGTGGAAAACAAGCCTCGTGACACAAGGCTTATGGAATTTAATCCTTCCAGCTTGGCAAAGAGAAGGGAGAGAGTTGATCCCCATGAATGGAGAAGGGAGGACCTTTACAGACCTGTAGGCAAAGGCATATCCAGTGGTTTAGAGTTGGCGTTAGACAAATTCAGCCTTGAAATAAAATGTGCTTTCCTAGCAGTGAGGATAATTAAAGACTGGAATGGATTATCGGGCAGGAGGGGGAGGAAGTGCACGCAGCATTGTGTGGAGTCTTTCCGAAAAGACTCCATGGATGACTGGAGAGCTTTCTGAAATATAGCCTTCGTGCTTCGTCCAGGTTCTGGGGAAGCCTCTAAATCCCATGCATACTGGGTGTCAGACTAGACTATTTCCAGCCCCAGAGTCTAGGTTTCAATGAAATATTTTGCAACCCTCCACATCTGGGATTTTCAGACTGATCAGGACCCTGCAACAAATTCACTCACTGATCTGAAAATCTAGGGCCGTTCCATGACGACTGTAGCTCATCGGATTGAATTTACCCTGGCCCTCTGGGATGCTTTGAAGCTGAAAGCTATGTAGACATGTGCCGTATTTGAGACCTCCCATCTGAGCCTCACCCTGCTGGGCAGCCTGTTCACACCATCCAGCTGTTCGGGGACCGTCAGGAGACCTGTCAGGACAGCCAGCCCGGGCTGCTGCTGCGAGTTGGAAATACTGTCACTCTCTTGTATATGCAGCTCAGTCCTTTACCTCCTCTTGAAATTGTTTCAAGGAGGCTTATTTAGTAAACCTCACATTGAACCTTTTCAGAGGTGCTATATAATATGACCCTCCTCTGTCTTTTTTCAAAGCTTTTGTCCATAATATTCTTCTCTTCTTTTAATACCACCCCCTGCTTTCATTTGTTTTTGTCTCCTTTTGATTATCAGGCCATGGTTTTTTCTGGGTTTCTATTTTTTTTTTATTAATTGGTGCAGCTCCCTGGTGCCTTCAGGTGGGAGGGTGGGCTCTTTCTAAATGTCATTTTTTTTCCTTACCATTCTGGCACGGATCAAGGGATGCGAGGAGACATAACTGTATGCAATATCTTTTCTTATCGCTTACTGGAAGATGCCAGCTTGTTCGCTGGTGTGGCTCTAGACAATAAAAAGCAAATGCGAAGGCTATTGGGCTGGGCAGCTGCATATCATTATTTATTATCTGGTTTGTAGTTTGTGGCTCTTGCGGTTCTTTGTGATATCTGACACAAGCCCTCACATTTTCTAAGCTAAAAGAAGCCTTTTAGTCCTACAAGTCTCATTAAAGTCAATGGGAGTTGTGTAGCTAAATCCAAGGTCAGCTCTTGGGGAACTTAAGGGCTTTACAATGTGAGCGGCAAAACCCTTTGGTGCAGAGTTAAACCTGCCTTTGAAAACCCAAGACTGAAGAGTATTGGGTGAAAGGCTAATCTCCAGCCTGGGTCCCAGCATTCCCACATGCGCAAGGCCTTTTTCTCACATATCTGTTCGTGAGATACATATCCGTCACTTTGCTCACAGACAAAATTTTCCTCCCGTCTTACAACTTCAGCTCCCAAACCGAGGCTCTGGTGTCTGAAATAAAGACAGGGTAATGAAGAGGTATGGTACAGCAGGCTTGCCAGCCTCTCACTACAGTGTCTGCAGCCTTAGAAAACATTACTAATGTGTGGGAGCAAATGACAAGGTGTCATCTCACTTGAAGCTGTAATCTTTATAGTACCAAGGTTGGTTTGGGGTTTTTTTTTAAATAGCTAGATATAGATAGGCATATTACTTCTATACCGTTATTTTTTTTTCTTTAAATTGTTATCTTCAACTCCACCTGAGGTTTGACTGGAATCCTGCTAGCCTAATCATCTATAGCAAGCAAATTTTCTTAATTGGCAAACAAAATATAATTAGAACTTCATCGTTATCACCAGCCATCACAAGAAAAGGTGGATCATGTGCCCAAGCTACTATATTTGCATGGCAATTTTGCAGGTCTTTATACAGACATCAAGGTGTCAGCACAAACAATTGATGGGATTTTCAGAAGTATTCCAAGTTGCTCCCATTAATGTCAACAGCAGAAGTTAGGACCATCCTGAGCGCTTTTGAAAATCACACGCTGTGTGCATAAGTGTGTGTGTGTGTGTGTGTGTGTGTGTGTGTTTGCTCACATCCAGACACAGATTGCAAGATCTTTCACAGAAGAACATTGTGGTCTGGTTTCTCTGCAGTATAACTGTGCCAAGGATCTTGTCCTAGATATTGTAAAGCCCCTAAATGAGAGGTTCCCAACCTCCAGGCCATGGGGTGGTACTGGGCCGTGAAGGGTTGGCTGCTGGTCTGCAGGAGGGTTGGCTGATGTACTGGAAGTCCAGAAGTAACCGGCATGCTGCGGATCGGCAGTCAACCCCTTCTTATACTCAGTATACCGAGTATACTGTATACTGAGTATACTGAGTATAAAAAAGGGTTGGCTGCCGGTCCACAGCATGCCGGGCACTTCCAGTCTGCAGTATGCCAATCCACAGTTTGCCAGGCTGCAGTCACTGCTGGTCCGTGGTTGCCAGTCCATAGTCTAAAAAGGCTGGGAAGCACTGCCCTAAATTCTCCCAGAGCTGAGCTGGCCTAGCTTGGTAAGGTCTTAGTTCAAGACCAAAGCTCCTAAATATGATTTAAGTTACAATGGAGTTTCTTTGGTGTAAGTCCTTTCTAGTTAGGAGGCGCCCAGTTTATGCCAGTTTAACTGGGATCAGCCTCTAGCCTCTAGTCTGTCATAACAAGGCAATTTGATTTCCTTCCCACTGTTTCCATAGAAACTAAACATAGATCGTCTTGCCAAAACAGAGCCCCAGCCCTTCTTTGGAGGGGCCTTACCTCTAGGTGCCCTCCCACTCTTTATGCACATTCATTTCTTGCTTCTGTGCTGAGATTGCCAAGAGGATCCTAGCTGAAGTCTGTTTCCCTGATACAGATAACATCCAGGGACTGGCCTGAGACCAAAAACTCATTTCACATAGGTTTGTGAGCTGCCATCACATGGTAACAATTTTCATTCGCTATCAAACTGTTTTGTTTGAACTGATGACTTAGGAGGGAAGGGCTCCATATTCCATTACCCAAGCCCCAAAACATCCAGTCCCTTAATCTGATTTAAGGAGCCATCTCAACCACATGCTAACCACTTGTATTTCTAGATATAATGCTACACCAAACTCCCACTAAGCAATTGCACTTTTTTAATATATTTTTTTTCCTCTCCCATCATTGCTGATTACCAAGATGTCTGTGAGTAGTGATGGCATCACAGAATAAACTGGGAAAAAAGAGAAATGATCCTGCAGGAGAAAAACAGGTTTCCATTTACACATGTAATGACTTGGCAAGCAGCAAAGCTTAACTCAATTAAATATGCTTTGGTAAGCTTTGCTTGGGTATGTGATGCTGCTGTTGCTCCAACTACTAGTAGCATGCTGCTCTTGTAACTACTAGTAGTAGTATTACTGCTGCTGCTAATACTGAAGCTATTATTATAGTGCTACTTGTAAGGTACAAGGTAGCCTGTATGGGAGTATGAAGCCTTCTACTTTTCTAAAAAAGGAAGAGAAAGGTCACCCATCCTTTTCTTCCATGTCCTTTACCACCAGTGATTCGGCAGGGGGGGCACTCCTCCCATTGTGAGAGGGTAGTTTGTCTTTCTAGGTACGTTCTTAAACAGGTTTCACCATCAGTTTAAAAGATGCTATGGTGTTCATGATAAGGGGTGAGCTTGCTTAGTCTTTCACCTCTCTGCCGAGAAAAGCAATGATAGTGCCATGTGTGATAGTGGCGGCTGTAATGTTCACATGTATCGGTAAGGAATTGGGCTGAGTTCCCACACTCATGTCACATAGCCTACAAAGATCACAAAGGTCTTCTGATTAACTGGCTGACCAAGAGGTGAAACAATTATATACCCTGTTACCTACCCATGGGACATTCAGTTCCCTTAATGATTTGGGGTCTTTAAAAGACTGATAGTCCATGTCTCTGCTGCCATTAAAACATCTCTTTCCTTTTTGCAGATGGCTTGGTGGACTGCATGGACCCAGACTGCTGCTTGCAGCCTTTGTGTCATATTAACTCACTGTGCCTGGGCTCCCCTGATCCCCTGGATATCATACAGGAGACGCAAGCCCCCATATTGCAGCAGAACTTGCACTCGTTCTATGACCGAATCAAGTTCCTGGTTGGCAAGGACAGCACTCACGTCATCCCTGGAGAGAATCCCTTTGAAGGGGGGTAAGTGAAAAATGTTTTCTTCTAATAAGAACTAAAAGCCTGAGCTCTTTTTGTACCCCTTGAAGTGTGGGATGGCAAATCAGAAGCAGTGAAATCCTAATAGAGAATGGCAGAAAGATGCAAGAGATGGAAACTGTGTCAACAGCAGATTCCCCAGCACCGCACCTGCCTCTGGGAAGCAGAGTGCTGAAGAAGTCCATGACTAATGCAATGCCACCGAACATCTTCTCACAGATAAGGTGCTCACAGATCAGGAAAAGAAAGAGACAAGAGACATGTTTCTAGATTGTCAAATCAATAGCCTCTCTGCTCAATTTGTCATTACGTTCTTGCTTCAAATGATAAAACACTCCACTCATCGTCGCCAGGTGGCAGAATTAATTTTCTATGTTCTGTCCATGTGTTTGTTTCTTTTATTAGTCCACCCTCTTGGGAATGGCTTTATTACTTCCAGGTCACATTTACCTCAACCTGTTGCCCGTGGGTCAGAAACCACTTGTGGATTCTTGGAAAAGTGTGGCTGCCCTCACAATAATATCAGAAGGGTAGTCCATTTGGATTGCATGAGCATGCCCCAACTTATATCCATTTGGACTGTATGAGCATGCTGCAAATCAGGCAGCAATGATGCTTCTCCTGGGAATATGATCCCAGTTTTCAAGGTTTCTTTCAAATCACTTAAGATTCCACTTACTCTGCTCACATATCCCCTCACCTGGCAACACACCACCAAGTAGCCGGAGAATAAGCTGCTTCCCATCAGTGAAAACAGGACAAACTCTTTGGGCACGAGATGTTTACTGCGGAGTAGACTAATTAGCTCTGCTGTAAACATCTGGGCATCTACACATGCAGGGCAATTAGGCTGGGTAAACAAATAAACTCCGCAACAAGATATTACTTGCAAATACAGGTACTATTCCTCTGCAGAGTTTTTTACTCCTCAGCACTGCACGTGTAGACGCTGGAGGGACTGGCTGGGCCATGAGGGTGCTTCAGTGCAGGGTCTGCCTGCTGGCTAGCCCCACGCCAAAGCACCCTCATGCCCCAGCCAGTCCTTCCACAGTACACTGGGCCAGGTAGGAGCAGTCCTGGGCTGGCAGGCTGACCCCAGGGTCCCCTGCCAGCCAGGGCTGCTGTGACCTAGCTCAACATGCTGCTGTCACGGGCATACATTGTGAACACAGTGCCCAAGAAACAATAAACTCTGGAGCAATAAGCTCTGGAGTTTATTGCTTTGCATTAAATTGCCCATGTAGACGCACCCTTTCTGCCTAAGAGCAGCCAGTGAGTAGGTGCCATTCAGCCAGTATATTCTCTGCTTTGGATCCTCTTGTTCACATGAATCTCGTTACCCAAAATACTCCACAGGAAGGCGTGCTCTGAGTGCCTGAAAAAAATTCAGAAGTGAATTTACTCTCAAAAAAGTTACTCCAGCATATGCATTGTGTGTCCGCTACCATTGTTATTTTGCGGTAGCCATTGACCCGAAGCACACTGGGTCTCCTGCCACCCTGTGGGCTATTATTGTAACAGCTCCAAATTTGAGCAGCCAGTTTGGGAGAGCCGGTGTTGTGTCCACTCCTTAGTCCTAAGAAAATTTACTCCAAAATAAACTTGTCATGTAGCCACATACTCTCAGTCCCTTACGGGTGCAGCCTTTTGAGATTTATCATCACAAGCTAAGCAGCGATTAGAAATTACTGTTAACGCTAGGTATCTTCAGCATTTAAATTAAGTCCTAATTATTTCATGGATATTTAGCTCTTCCCCTACTCCTCCCCCCCCCCCCAAAA